AATAAAATAAACATTTGCATGAATGAATTGTTTGCTATAAGATCAATAACATGCAATTAGAAAATAGATAGATAAGGTGAATTTTCATTTCATGCTGACTTTAAAGAATTAACAGATATCTAAGTGCGCATTTTTCATTTCTCATGTTTTAAATTCAATTCAAATGTATATATAATATAAAACAAATGTATTGGTCTCTTTATGTATACATCTCATAAACAATCATCAAATTTGCACAAAATTGGAACTGGCCATCATGTTCTTCGGATATCGACATTGGTCAAACCCATATCCGTTGATAATTAATGCTGATTCTTACCAGCTATTCACTGGATTATCTACTAGATAACACTGATCAAATAACTTCCTATCGACAGGTATGACCTATTGGAAGCTTGAAAAGAGAGATGTATGTTTTACCACTCAGTGGCCATATGTGACGCCTTGACTTTGTTGAGCTCATCCTGGATGGTTTGTTTGGCTCTAATCTCGCCATCCAGTGCAGACTGCAGCTCCAGACGCGCAGACATGTCCAGCTTAGCCAAACGTCTCATCTTCCATGGCATGTCCTGGAAAACCACAACACCCACTGGCTTACAACATGCAGTAAGATTTGATGCAAACAATTAAGGTTTGAGAAGAACGCTGTTTAGAATAAACTGCATTACTCGCTCATGCTACAGTGCATTTCTAACACAAAGCACTAAGTTTACAGTTAAGATCAAAGTTTAGTTGTAAAAGGACACTTACAGTAGCACGTGCACCCAGACTGGCGTTCCTCATGCCTTCCAGTTCTTCTGTCATCTTAGTGGCTAAAGCCTGCAGATAACCTCGAGCGTCTTTCTCATCACTGACCCTGAGAGAGAAAAACAGATGCTCAGAACTGCCCTTACAAAACATCACCACTAGATGGCCCCACGGCTACACAAATACCTAGGGTTTGGTGCAAAAGTAACATCAGTTTAATTGCAATTATGCAGGGAGTAGCAACCATAATAAACCTTTTTCACAACTTTTTGGGAAATATTCATTACATGTTAGGATTTTCAGGCACAGTGCAGAGAAAATGACTTGAGGACTATGCAGAAGCTTCTTCCAGCCAGTTGCTTCAAGCCTTAGACTGAATGCACATTAAAGTAATGATACGCTATGGCGAATACCTACTTAACTACTGGGCTAATGCTGTCACTTAAGTATTTATCAAGCTGATAGGGTTTATAATGGGTCCCCACCGCACTGCCGATCAATCCTACACCCTTGTACCCCGCAAATTTAAGATGTGTGGGCTAAAATGGTGAATTTATTTGATTTTTAATGTTATTTTAAAAAATGTATTTTATGATATTGTACTATATGCCTGTCTAGTAATAAATTTGTGTTTAGCACCTTTGCCTGCAATGCACAGCAAAGGCAAAATGCAGTAACTTCGCTACCAATGGAACTAACAAAAAACTAATAGCAATTTTCACAAATCTAAGCAGAGTTGAACCAGGACACAGGACAAAGTCTAAAAGAGCTGATTCCAATTTTACACACAAGCGTGAACAGCAAGGTAATAGTGTGTGTGCATGTTATGTGTGTTTCTCACCATTGAATGATTTCTGTGATCTGGGCCTCCCAGTGGGTCACACTCTCTTTCTTATCAGCCAGTTCTCTCATCTCCTCCTCCAGCTGTTTGTTACTGCAGCTCAACTTCTCAAATGAAGACATCATCTACACACACAAAAACATGTTATTGAACATACACACTACTGATCACAAGATTTTATTCACTTTTTTTCTTTTATTCTACTTTTATTCACCAAGCATTTAAGCTGCAGTCAAAATGTACAAAACAAGCGAAGCGAGTACATCATGAATCCATTTTCCAAGCCGTGTTTTTGGCTTATACTGAATCACTACGGTACACCTACAATTCGTTTTTATTATTCTAACTATTTTAGACTGGTTCTTGTAGAAACCACCGCGGAGTAGCCCAGTACCTGCATGACTCGTCATAGACATAAACAGAGAGAAGTAGCTCCGGCTACAATGTTCTTTTGCAAAACGCATGCAGTTCTGTTTATTAACCGCTAGAGCGCCAAAAGTTACAGACTGCAACTTTAAATGTATCACAATGTATTTCAGCACATCTCAAACCAATTTCTATTTCAGTGAATGGAAAACAATCCTCATTTGAGGCTTTTACTTCTGCACAACCCATGTAACACAACAAGCTCGAAAACATGCCCATTACCATGACATAAAATCACAAACCAATACGGCAATTTGAGGGGCCAGATGCAATTATATGGACCAGAGAGACAGCGACTGGCTCTCATCAGAGCCTGCTGGATGGACCACCATGCAAAGCCACCCGTGTCACTGTAATACCCCTAAACCACCAAACACTCATGAATAAGCATGACCCCCCTCCATCTGCAATGGCTCGGTTGACTCCACAGTAAACAGGTCTGCTAGTACACGCATCTAGTCAATCTGATTTAGACGCACTCTCTATCTTAAGCAAGAGCTGGTGAGGTTGACCACCCTTATAATTACGCTTGCATTATCCGAGGTTTTCATTCAACACTACGCTCTGACCGGAGCGCTGAACCTTCGCTGTGGTCCCCGGGAAAAGCGTTCCAGATCCCTGTCTGTTGATCAGCATATTTCCCTGTGCTTACAAAGGGGGGAGGATGCTGACTGACTTCCCAGTAAAACATTGGCACGGTGGACCATCTCTTCAGCTCAACGGACTCATGGAAAGACCGAAACATTTTAGTCCGCAAATGACAACGGCATGTTTTCTTTCTTTCACAACTGAGTGTTGCCCTCCAAGGGTTCTTCTCTAAACATCTCTAGCTTTGCCGTCAGGCTCGCTGAGAGCTAAGAACCGCTACACGCACACAAGCCTTTCTTTTAACCACTCTGTGTGCTTTACACTCCGTTTGAAGCGCTCAGTAACGATACCCAGAATTAATTCCTGGTTTTAACAAAGAGCATCAACTCTGACCGCTAAGACGTGAAGCCTCCTGTCATCTTTAGTGAAATGACCACATCAAAAGCGATGCGGAATCTGTGACTTCAGGCTTCAGTAATATGAGAGATGGAGTTTGTGGTTTCAGGGTTGTGGGTCGATGTGTGGGGTGGTGAGTTAATGTTACA